TGACCTATTTTAATATTCTGACCTCAGTATGTCATTTGAGGATGGTGGAATATAATCAGTGAATATATTTGAAACAAATCTTTGATCTGATTACTGAATAATTATTTTGCACTTATATAACTTTCTGTTCAAACCTTGATGCTTATTTTGGTTGTTGTACTGACAACATTTCACCTCTTTTACTGGCAACTTTCTTCAGTTGTTTCAATAATCTTCTTAGATATTTAATCCACAGAGATAGACTTTTCATTCCACTTCCCATACTTAAGGGAGATAACTCATATCAATTAAAAACTTAGCCACCTTCATGTTGTTTAACCATTTCTTCCATTGACCAAGAATTTCTGCTTTTCAGTACAATCCATTGCTAGGTAAAATGATCAGCTTCTTGTACTGATCAAGTGCATATCTGACTTCTCATCCTCTAACTTTATAGCTAGATCAAGCCAAAACTGGAATACTGCTGTCCTATTTGGGCGGGAGTTGCCCAGTCCACTCTTTCCAGTCTTGATAGAGTTCAAAAGTATCTTCAAATCCTTGTTGGAGAAGAATTATTTTCCACCATCCAACCTCTCTCTCACAAGCAGGATATGGTGAGCCTCTCACTGCTCTATCGCTACTTCCATGTTAAGTGCTGGAACAAACAACATTCCTTGCTTCTGCCAGCTCTAAACTTCATGGGAAGGACCTGCTATGCCACTTACATTGTAGCAAACCAACCACATTTCCTCTGTATTTCATCCATGAGAAGTATGTTCCAATGGAACAGCTTCTTACCACAACGATTGCTCAATGGGACACACTCCCAAGGAGATGTTTTCCCAATCATTATAATCTTAACCTGTTCAAGTCTAGAGTTAGCTATTATCTTCTCCTCCTATCCATATAAACCACCCCTTAATATAACACTCTAACTCCAGTGGCCCCCAGACCTTATAGAGGTCGAACCTTACTGTAAAAATAAAATACCAAAATCTAATTTTGAACTCACAACTATCAGGGAACACATGTTTTATCCTGTAGGCCATGTCTCTCTTAATGAGCATGCTGGTCTGAATACTAAGATATTTAATAAAATATTCTGCCATGAATTATCACTTTAATTTTTTTGATATTTTATGAATATCAGTTTAATTATCAGTCCATCTATCATATCAAAAATAGATGCAGATTTTGAAGGGTCAGTGGTCAAAGATCAAACAAAAAATTTTAAGAGCTGGTGTTCAAGGTGCAACACAATCTTCTAACCTACTTATGGTGTTCTATTTCCATATTAAAATTCTGAAATATCTATATGGATAAATCTGAGTATTAAAAATGAAATGCTACAGAACAAGCTTAGGCATTTCTTATGTAGACTTCATCATAAATGCTAAAATTTGAGACACCATCAGACAAGAAGCAGGACCAGTGGATGACCTCACAACCAGTATCAAGAAGACAGACAGTTGAAATATTATAGACATGTCATAAAATCCAAAAATTTCTCAAAAGAAAACAAAGAAGAAGAAAAATTGGAAAAAGAAGAAGATGAAAAAGAAAAAGAAGAAAAAAATGGAAGAAGAAGAGAGAGTGAAATGGTCTGACAATATCACTGAGAAGTCTGGAAGATCATTCAGAGAGATTCAGACATTAGTATGAAACTGAGAGATATGGATGGTGTTGGCCCAGTGTTCAGCTACACAATGTCCAGACAGCTACACCCAGTCATGGGACTGATGATGATGATGATGATGATGATGATGATGATGATTGCCAAAGTCAAAGAATGCTTGCATGCCTGCTTGTATAAACGAGGCTGAAAGAAGCTCTCCTAAAAAATTATGATGCTTGATCATTTCCTCATATTTTATAAAATGGGCCAAAATATAATATTTTTGGCAGCTTCTCATATGAATATTCTTCTTCAGCATGTGGATGATCATGGCTCTCTACAACTTCATATATATCTACAAGTTCAATTTCTTTTGATTCACTTCCCTGTTAGAAAAACTTCCAGCTCAAACTGACAGACAGAAAAATGCGTGCACCTCCCACTTGCAATTAAAATTGTTATTTTTGCTTATTGCTTTTGAGCTGCTGTTTGATACAATCATGTATGTGAATAGTAGTCATGAACTAAATCTTTTGTTTACAGCATAGTACTATTAGTACAGTAATATTAAAGTCATTTACCTGAGTCTTAATATAAATGAAGATTTGTTTCAGAAAGCTATTGAAAGAGATTTTCTAAGTATGTGAATAGGAATCATGAAAGAAATATTTTGTTTACCTATATAAGTTTGCTTGTATATTCTTCTTTATAAATTGTGTCCCCTCAGGATGTAGAAGATAATCAATTTTCACAAATTTCTATCCTGTGTACCCTCTCTGGTCCAATTGACCTTTTCTACTTTCTTTTGTTTTTTTATTAGATGTGGTATCCTATTTTTTTTTAATTTGTTATGCATATATATTTATATATACAAATGTACAATATATCTTACATGCATCTTTACTTCCATGATCATGCCAGATTATTTTTTTTTTATCAGACCAACAGAATTCACATCACAACATTCAATAATGCATCTATTTAGATTCTTTATTTTTTTAGTATTCTAATTGAGTTTTACTTACTTTGTCATAATCCTTTCTTGTATATTTGAAACATTTCCAATTCCTTTCATTTTTTAGCCTTGGTTGAGGTACATATTTGTATATATAGTTTTAACATATGCTATATTTATATGATAAATGTTCAATATCCAGAACAGAGTATATATAAATATAAGCAGTGTAGACCCAGAGTTCAACACCAAATGGTTACTTTCATTCATGAATGCAATCTTTAGGTTATATATTTATATTTATTTTATTTATATATATATATATATATATATATATATATATATATATATATATATATATATATATATATATTCAATAAATTAAGAGAAGTTCAAGTGACATTGTTTTGCCAACTCAAGTGTTTCACATCAAAATTAACATCACGGACAGATATTTGATAAATCTATTGAAATTAGTATCAGATACATTTATGCTTTTTTTTCTGAATAAGTGGAAATTTATTCTTACTTTCAAATTCTTACCATTACAAACATCACAAGATTTAAATTTAGACCTAGTTAAGTTTTTTGCTATAATTTTGTCATTATTGCAAATTTCTAAGTATCATATACTTTGCAATAATGAAACTTATTGATTAAAATTTTTCAACTTTTTGCGTAATGTGTAAAATGTTTTTCATTATAATCTCTTATAATAAAAATATCATAATATATATATATATATATATATATATATATATATATATATATTATAATTGGTCGGGTTTTGATCCTAACTAGAGGCAACTAGACATCTAGCCACACTGATGAGATGTGATACTGCGAAACAGTCTGTCTGTGGATGACAATAAACATACATACATATATATATATATATATATATAGATAGATAGATATATGTGTGTATGTATATATATATATATATATATATATATATATATATATATATATATATATATATATTTGTTATTTGTTGAAAATCAAAAATACAAAATATAAAGATAAATTATAATCTATAATTAAAAAATTAAACAATTGCTAATTCTGTATTCTATGGAAGAGAATATAGAATATAGAATTAGCAATAACTCTTCTAGTGAAGATGTATTTTAAATTTCAAATTGACATTATATTATATTAAACATAACAGCAATAGTAATCATAAAGATAGAAACAGAAAAATCATTTGGGACACACCTCCATTTAACCAAACATGTATTGAAAAATGAAAGCTTTTCTGTAGTGATGTAAATTTTTTTTATTATAATCTCTTATAATAAAAATATTATAATAATTATTTTCTCTTTCTTTGTATTGAGCACTTTTTTAAAAAGTAAATGCTACAAAGTGTGGATTTTTATCCCATCTTTTTTTCTCTTATTTGCATATATATATATATATATATATATATAGCAAGCATGTTTGATTGAATAATCTATATATATTATGTCTATTTATTTTTATTTTAATCCTCTCAAAATCACGGATCAATTTCTTAGTGCTTTTACAAAGCTGAGTAAGAAAGATGCCGTAGTTTTGGTTATTTCTTTTAATTTCTGAAGTACTTGGAATCTCATCCAAAATCTTCTTCAGAGGTGAATTGCTAAGACAAAAATTAGTGTAATTGATAGTTGTGGATTTTTTTGCAAATGCGCATGCATGCACTCTGCATATTCAATTTATATTAAGGATATGTAAGGGAGTTAGTTAAGTTTATTTTTTTCTTATTTTTAATGTTTTAAAAATACTCAACCTGTAATTTTTTTAAAAAAAGTATTAATTTTTTTTGTTTACAATTTGAGCTTCCCAAAACATTTGTTTCTATAAACATTTTAAAACATTGTTGCTATATTCATAATTAGTTTTATTTAATAATGTAGACAAAATATATCTAGATTATTCAACCAAACATGCTTGAATGAATATATGCTGCCTAAAATATATATATATATATATATATATATATATATATATATATATGTCTATGTGTGTGTGTGTGTGTGTGTGTGTGTGTGTGTGTGTGTGTGTGTGTGTGTGTATACCATTGATTTTCTGACACTCTTACTTCCAGAACTGTGCCAGATTAGAGATAATCTGTTTTGCCAGACCAACAGAAGTTGTGTAGGAACAAATTAATTATATATCCCTTCTTTTTCTACACTTTCTTCCCTGCTATTAGAAAAAAATTCTTTACAAATCTTCAATGATTTCCGTAATAAAAAAATCCTGAGTTGTCCCCCATTTCAGTCATAAGTGCTCCTAAGATCTTTCTTAACACTAGCTTTTTTTTTTCTTCTTCAAGACTAAATCTAACCAATTAACTCCTAAGTAGTCTGAATGGGACACTGAGAACTCAGGCACCCCCCCACACACACACACACTCACTGAATCTCCCCAATCTGGTTTTGCCACTCCTAGGACCTTTACATGATGTCTTCTTTGCCCTCTTTGTCCTTCTTCAAACTCTTACACACATCTATCTCTCTCTCTCTCTCTCTCTCTCTCTCTGTAAATCCTCTTGACTCCTTCCTCTTTCTGTGACCCTACCCTATGCCCTTCAAATTTCCACTCGCTCCCTTCCCCAGACATTCCATTGTTATACTTGGGCACCTCCCAATTGGTCTTATTAGTTGTCTTCTTGTTGGAGAAAGAAAGTGAAAGGAGGGAAGAATTACTTTGAGTTTGGTCCAAAATTTTAACTTCACAGTCTCAAATTGGACAGGAGTGAGAATGAAAGAATAAAAGAATTAAAGCCTTCAGTATTCGTTCTTTCATTCTTTCAATCCCAAGTTCTTTTCTTCTTTCAATGTCTCCAGACAATTAACTCTTTTGTATTCCTTTTCCAATCCTGTGTGTCAATTTATATGTAGTGGAAATTTCTCTGTTCATTCCATTAACCTTCTCATACATGAAAGAATGAAAGAATTAACAAATTGAAGGAATCAGAATTATTTCTTATAAGCTGTTCATTCTATAATTCTCACAAATCTACAATTCTCTTATTCTTTCAGGTTTTAATCTGTTAATTCTTATCTATAATTTATTTGTTCCTACTTTTAATTCTCTATGAGTGGCTTCTACTTCATTCTACCAATATATATGTAAAGCTACGATTCAAATTGAATGAAAGAAAGAAGGAATTAATTAAGGTAAGCTAATGAAAGAATCAGTTTATTGCTTCAAAGTTAATTTATCTGTTGGATTTCTGTCTCTTATTTGTTTGTTATCTATTTATGTATTGCTTTTTCCTATATTTATCTAATATTTTCTTTTCCCTCTCATCATATATATATATATATATATATATATATATGCACTCTCTTAAGAACAGTATTTTTTGGGTTATTGGAATTTATTTTTTATACACCAATTTTATAGTTGGATATATATATATATATATATATATATATATATATATATATATATATATATATATACTGCAGACAAAAAATTTTGTTACTACCTACATTTCTTAAAAAACATCTTAAAATGATATATTTTGTTATTTTTTAAGTAAAAGATAAAATTTCCCAAGCTACAGTGTATTTGCTTATATTTGAGAAAAAATAAGTGCTTAATTATAAAAAAAATTATGATATAACAGCATCATATTTTGTTTTCATCAATCAAACCCCCACCTATCTTAATTACTACATTACAAATTCTTGGCATTCTTTCAAGCAGTTTTTAAAAAATGTAGATTGCAGACTTTCAAAAGTATTCTTCAAGCACTTAAAAATGCTCATGTTCACTCTTAGGCTATTTTCTTCAAACTCTCCTATTCAGCTCAACCCATACAAATTCAATGGGAGAAAGGTCAAGAGATTTAGTCAATCAAATCATAATTCCTAAAATTTTCTTCTTTTTTTGACTTGAGATAATTTTGACATAATTTGCAAGAGTATTTTGGATCATTGTCTTTTTAAAAGATTAATTTTTTTTAATTGTACATAAACAAGATGGTAGAACTTGTCTCTGCAAAATCAAATGATATTGTTTTTTTCATGATCCTCTTAACCTGAATCAAATCTCCAGTCCTCTCTCCCTCAACCGACCACCATAACAGACCTATCTCCACGTTTAACTGTTCAAAACACACATTCATCATTCAGTCTTTCTGCTGGCTTTTTTCTGATATACACTCTCTTTTTATTAGCAAAAAGTTCAAATTTGGACTTGCATGTCTGCAATACAATTTGCTACTCTTTCAAAATCCAGTTATTATGCTTTTTTGCCAATAACAGTTTTTTCTGCTTATCTACCACCTGTAACAAGGGTTTCTTGATAGCTATGCATCCATTGGGCCCTAGTGATCTAAGCTGATTTTTCATAGTTGAGAGATTGACACTGGTTATTTTTGAGTGGAATGAAGTTCAGTTGTCAACTCTGGAGCAGCTTTCCTTTTATATCGTTTGTTCTCAATAATCAAGTGTTTATCTTCAGCAGAAGTTATCAATTTAAGTGCTTCAGCTCTTTTTCTGTTAAAACATTTGTGCCAGTTTTTAACTGTCTTTGTAATAATACACCCAATATCTGCAGGAGGGATATTGGAGTAATGGATAGCAACTCAGATTGAGGCATCAGAGAGATGAGTTCAAATTTCAGTTGAATCCATTTTCATACATTACATGCTAATACCCTAGGGAAAAGTATGAATCCTTTTCTTCTTCCCCCATATATGAGTAAATAGCAGGACATACCAGGTTCTATAGCTTTGGATGGCAACTGGTCTATTGCAGAAAGAAATGGTAAGCTACTGTGGGAAAAATCTGCCTTGTCAGTCATGTATTGAAAGATACATGACCTCCTAAGTGTGTATCACGCATGCCACATGTCTAGAAGTGTTCAACTTCTTGGCAATTTGTATTTGAGAGCAGGCTTCTTTCAACAAATAATTCTCTGTTCCTGGCCATCTTCCTAGCTTTTGGAAGGTCTCACATGCATGTGTTCACATACATGGCCTTAATGTCTCTGTTCAGGAACATCGCCCACAGACTCTTTTGAGTCTCTGAACTGTTCTTACATGTGCCCCCTACCTTCACTACTAAACTCAGTCAGCTATCTATTCTTCCTTTACCGTGCCCCTTCCTCTCATGACTGTTGTATGCTAGATAGAATTTTTGATATTATAGATAAGGTCCTCTCCCTACACCCATCTGCAAATATCTTTATGTTTGGCAAGTTCATTATCCACTGCGTCAGATGACTTAATCACTCTAATGACATTGACCTTGCTGGCATCTTCTCTATTACTCAGTCACTCACTCAAATAGTAGATGTCTCTATGCATTTCCCTTGTAAATCTGATGGACATGCTTCTCTATTTGATCTCTTCCTTACCTCCTTCATGGATTCATGTTGTGCTCTGCAGCTTTGTTCCCTTGGCAACTCTGATCATGTTTTAGTGTTTATGGATATCTCTTTCCATTCTCCCATCAGTCAAAAACCCCCTATTAGCAGAATATAATTTTCTTCTGATTGGGACTTATTTTGTGATTTCCTTTGTGATGTAACTTAGAATGATATTTTTAATCAACCTGTTCATAAATGTGCCACTGAAGTCTTTTTGTAGGTGAAAGCTGGGATCAAAGCTTTTGAGACTCCAGCATGGAAATATCAAGTGAAACCACAATCATCTCCTTGGTTCTCACCTGCCTTCTCAGCTACTATAGATCATAGGAATAGACCACTTCTTCTGGCTATACCAGGGTGACAAGTCTAATTGTAACAGATGTCCCTTTGTCACTGCTTGTAATGAGTGCAAGCGTGTCTTCAAAGAAGCAAAGTCACTATTTTCTGATAGAATATAGCCTTTCACAAGTTTGGTTCTAGAGATTTAAACTTTACAATTTCTTGCCACAGTTAACTACTGATTGGAGGCCCTTTTTCAAGAGCAACTGCCAGGATTATGTTGTAAGATTTGATGGATTTCCTTATTGAGACAAGAACAAATGGTAGTATCGCAGTAACGGCGTCTGCGATGGTTCGGACACGCTGCGTGCCGGTCAAGAGGGGAGCTGATACGGGACGTTCTCCTTCCCACACCGCCGTCCACCTGGTGGAAGCGGATAGGCGGACAGCTGAAGACGTGGGCCTCAACGATCAAGGAGGATCTGGCGTTACTTTCCGGCCCGCATGTGGTCGGCCTCCACCGCTGGAACCGCGACTGGCTTACCATCTCGTGCGACCTCGCGACAGACCGACGGGCATGGGCAGCGATGGTCCGTGATGCGGTGCGTCAACAGGAAGAAGCCGGCTCAATCCGCCCAGGGTGAATGCCGCATCAAGACAAGAAGAAGAAGAAATGGTAGTATCATCTACATAAATACAGAGTTGGAAGGTGCTGACAATGAGTAGATAACTGAAAAAGATAAGAAACAGCAGTGGACCCAGAATAGGGTCCCTGCATTTGTATGAAAGCATCTGGAAATGAGCCTGTTCAAAACAGTCTTCATTTCACAGTTTGAAAGGAATGATTGGGTTAAATGAAATATTTCTTCAGTGACACCATAGCCCTGAAGTTTGCATATAAGGCCAACATGCCATATTCTTTGAGATATCTAGAGACACAGTCCAAGCTTTGCTGTTCTTATCCAAAGCTTTATAGACAAATTCCATGATGGCAATTAGCACATCAGTGGTAGATCTGGTGAAATGGAAGCCATATTGTTTGTCTGAGAGTCATAAGAAGTGTAGAAGTCAAACGACTTACCTGCTAACATGGCTGCCTTCTTGTACCTTCTTCTAAAGGCAAGCCAGCTAATCTACCTCATTTTATAGGAGATTACCTAATGCAGCAGGTGGGTTAGTCCACTTTGCCGGAATAGACCTGCCCAACACATTTGCATGAGTGGACTCTATTCACCCATATATCTCTCCATTAAATGACTCAAGTCACTTCAACTTGAAGTGACTACACCCTTCTACTTGTATGTGGTCGTTTTTCTCACCTGGTCCAACCTGAGCATTCATTGCATTTAAACCAATAAGCTTTTTTTAATTTTTGCAAACTCTTTGAATTTTTTAATTTTCCTGGTTTAGTTTTGTGCATAATTTTAATTTTTAATTTTTTTAATTTAATTTTTGTACATTTTACTTTATTTCATTGTTTGTTTTCCTTTTTGTGTTTTTAATTTTATTTTTAAATTTTTCAGTCTTCCTGTTTTAGTTTTGTGAATTTTTTCTTGCTTTTGTTGTCTATTTTCCTTTTTGTAGTTTTTACCCTCCCACTGTTTTCATTTTTTCTTTTCGTATTTGTTTTAATTGTTTATTGCCTTTTGATTTTCCACGTTCTTGTTTATTTTTGTGTGTGTTTTGGACTAATTTATTTTATGTTTGTGGAAAAATTTAAAAAGGGTAAAAAGCAAAACTATTTATTTGTTTGACCGTGGCAGTTTGGAAAAACCATCATGGCAAACAATAACAATGACGAAAATATACACCACCTTCAAAACCAGTGTCACCAGTAAAAACAGCCTGGTCAGAAAATAGGATGCTTAAAAAGATGCTGATTTTACATCAACCAAAGGAAGAAATTTGAAGAAACATTCAAAGGAAATGAATTCTTAACTATTCCAGAGGCACTGGATGCTATAAGCAGTCGAACAATTTCCCTGCTGATTTCCAATGTTAAAACTCAAAAGTTAATTGGGGTGAGCAGGGGCGGCATGGAAGAAGCTCTAAAAACCCTTCAAATCAACCCAAAGATACTCATTAGAACTAATGCTCTATGGGATATACTATTAACAACAGAACAACAAGCCAAGGAATTGGCTGGAAGCATTTTAACAACTAAGACCTTATGTTTGCAGATGGAGTACATGGGCATCCGCAGGACAAAGGTGATCATACATGGAGTGCCTGTAGATATCTTAGAGGATAGAATGGGGGCCTTTTTCACCAAATATGGTGAAGTCCATGAAGTAAAGGCCCTCATAAGTAAAATAGGAATAGCGACAGGCAACATGAAAGTTCAAGTCATGGTGAACTGAAAAAATTTGGCAAGATACCGAATGTTCACGTTTGCCATGACAGATGGATGTTGGTGGTCATGGAGGGCAGGTGACCATATTGCTGGTTGTGTGGCACTACAGGGTACATGGCCAAAGAATACCCTGGTAAAAACACAAAACATCCGCCCCATCCAGCAACGACAGCAGCAGCAATGGTCACAACACCAGCAGAGGAGGGGGTCAACAACAAAAATGACGGATGGAGCCTGGAAGGAGTTGGAAATCCCTTAATGTTCCAGCTTCACAGGATATACCCCAACCAAAGAGGCAACAAATACCAGAGAAGCAGCTACAAAAGAAGGTGAGGCCTCCAAAGAAGGTGAAGGAAAAGCAGCTGCACCAAAAACAGCAGCAACTGAAGCAGCAAGAAGGATCAGAGAGGACGAAGAAGAAGATGTACCTCAGCAAAAGCGCTCTGGCCGTAGTAGGGTGGAGAGTGTCAGTCCTTCTTCACCAAAAGGAAGCATGGTCCTGCCAAAAGCAAAGAGTCTCCCTACTTCCCCTTCCTGTGCTCTGTCCCCCACTCCCTCCATCTCCTCACTCAGTTTACTATCCATCCCCTCACACATCCACTTCTTCTCCTCCCCACCCTTCAAGGGAGAAAAAGAAGTCCCAGATGCCATATGTAAAGTAGATAAAGAGGAGTTTAAAAAGGGTCTGTCAAAACAAAAAAAGACCCTTTTAAGACCTCTATTGAAAATGGAAAAAGTTGAAGGAAAGTCTGTTGAGGAACCCCAAAATTTCCCAGGTGCCCCAGGAATAATTACATGCGTGAGGGACACAAGGTGTTATGTAAACGTCTGGAGCCACCTGTTCAAGACAAAGGAAGCCTATCCATACATCAGGATGATAGAACTCGAAAATGAGATTTTGAGAAAACTTAAGCAATTTTGTGCGGGGAGGGTCCTGGTTTTGCTCCATCCCTCCTTATATAGGGCGGTAAAACTAACGTGCCCTATGGACGTTGGCAGTATTGTCCAAGATGATCGAATGATGAGAGAGTTGGGCACAGGGAGCCTAGGACAATCCATCGGGGTCCTTTCTGCCACAGATTTCCGCCTGGTATGTGAATAGGTTTTTTGCTCTGACTTTTTCATTTTTCTTGTAGGCCTAAATGATGTCAATCAAGTTAGCCAGTCTGAAGGCAAAGGTTTTGAGGGATCAGGGTAAGGTGGCCAGCCTGCTCCGGGATCTCTTGTCTTTCAGCGTGGATGTTGCCATGATCCAAGAGACCCACTTTGTTTGCAACATCATTTATTCAGCATATAGAGAACGACTGGCCAGTGGAGTTTCGTTGCTGATTAGACATACTCTTGTTGCAAAGGTGGACCTTGTGCATACCAATGCTGAGGGCCGGTTGATCGTGGCCAATATTGCTATGAAAAGGGGTTCGTTCCAAGTCATTGCAGTTTATGCACCCAACGACCTGGAGGAGCGGGTCTCGTTTTTTCGGCAGTTGCGGTCATTCTTGGTGGATTCAACATACCTAGTGTTAATGGGGGACTGGAATGCCATCCTGGACCACAAGTTAGACAGGGGGCGGGGAGTTAGAGGGTGGAGGGGCGGTCGAGGCATGGTTGACCTGATGAATGATTTTGGTCTTGTTGATAGATACCGGGTCGATCACCCCAGGGAGAAAATGTGGATGTGGGCTCTTAATTCGCCTTTTACCTGGGTAGTTTGCTACTTGGATAAAATATTAGTTAGAGGAGCTGACACAGACTTGTTAGATTGTCCCACGTTCCACTGGGTAGGCTATTCGGATCACAAATTCATTTGTGCCTGGATGGTTTTAGATCGTAGACCTAGCTGGCTACTGGAAGTTCAATCTGTCCTTATTGAACACGCAGGACTTCTAGGAGCAGATAACTAGTTTAGTGCAGCAGGAGCTAGTAGGGGGCAGTTATTGGGAATAAGTGGTAGGAGAGACTTAAGGATAGGATTAGGGCCTTCACCACTGATTTCAGCAAACGGCTCGCCATAGATAGAGCTGAAAAGGTGAAGACGCTTAAGGCTAGTTTTTCCTGGGTAGTGGCTGGGGGGCATCCCCTAGAGATAACCATAACTAGGGAGGCCCCGGAGCATTTGAGCAGCGAATGCTACATGGGCCAGGTAATTAGACATAGGTTAAGCAAGATGTCTTCCAAAGCTGTGAACACGGGCGCAGATTTGTGCAAGTAAGAGATCCGTTGAGGTTCCTATCATTACATTCATGAGGTCAATTTCACAGAGGGGCATACTCTTCGGGCCACTGACAACATGTGCAAGGTATTTCAGCAGCATTCCGAGAGCTGGTTTACCAAGGAGCCTGGTCTCCGTAATGAGGAGTTTTGCAGCTATTTGGCTGACTTTCCTCGGCTTTTGCCGAATGAAGCGGCTAGCTGCAAGGGAGAGATCATGGAGGGCGAAGTCTACGTGGCATTGAAGAAGATCAGCAGAGGCAAGTCGCCCAGTCTGGACGGTTTGTCCTATGAATTGTACTTGCGGCTGTCACACATCTTTGTCCCAATTTTGACCGTGGTGTTCAACAACTGGTTCTGGTCAGGATCCATCCCCAACCGGTTCATCAGGGGTGTGATCACGCTGTTGAAAAAAGGCAAGGGTGTTGGGTGGGATTTAGATGATTATAGGCCCATTAGTGCTAAACACAGAGTTAAAAATTTTGGCCAAGATCCTGCAGGAGTGTTTGCAGTCAGTTCCCGAGTCTCTGTTGGGTCCTGAGCAGACTTGTGCTGTGAGGAGCCGAACAATTCAGAGCAATCTGCATCTGATCCGCATGATCATAGAGGGTGTAAAAGATGACGATGAAGCCATGCTGATCAATTTAGATCAGTCCAAGATATTTGATAGGGTTGACCATTACTACCTTGCAGCTGTCCTGCACGCCGCTGGATTTGAACTGCTATTGGATTAGCCTCCTGTATCGCTCCCCCGTGCTGTGGTACAGGTGAACAGAAATGTGTCAGGCACTTTAGCACTGTCTAGGTCGGTTCATCAGGGTTGTCCACTGTTGCCCCTACTCTATGCTTTGGTGTTGGAGCCTCTCCTTTGCTGGCTAAGGGATAGGGCATGCAGTCCAGCCCTATGTGAAATCGCCATTCCTGGAGGGGCTTGAGCCAGGATTTCCACGTAAGCTGATGACGTATCTGCTTTCGTGTCAATACTGAAGGTGCTTGATCGGTACAAAAAGGTGACAGGGGCCAAGATTAACCGCAACAAGTTGTCCGCCATCGTAAACCCCGGGATTAATCAGATTTCCTTCACTTGTGTCAGTCGGCCTTGTTGGCTGTTCCTTGATCTAGTGACCTTTCTCAGCCTAGGAAGGTCTTCTATCATCATCTAGTGGAGGGGGTTGCAAAGGATCCTCACGTGAGTGGCTTGACTTGTTGGAGGAGTAGTTTCACTCTTTCTGGTCTTGGGCACCAGCAGCGGATTATCTCAGTAACCCTGAGTTTTTGCTTATCTGGCAAATGGTTCCCAAAAAACTAGTGCTCATTGATCGTGCATATGTGTGTGACAATGTGTTACCCCATATTCTGGGGTGAAACAAATGGTGTTCTGACACTGCTGGCCATGGCCTGAATGGTGATTTGGACGATGTGACAAGTGGAAGTCTTGCAAGGCAACCGTCTTTCTCATCAAGATCTGATCCAATTCTTTGAGCATCAGCTCAAGATGAAGATCAGAACTGATAGAAAATGCTTGCATTTGACAGTCTTTAGTGAAAGGTGCGTGACTGTGGTGAGCTTGGTTCATTTGAATGGGGCTAGCCTTGATTTTCTCTTTTGGATCAACCTATCTCATATTGCGGTGGTTTCCTGTGGAGCCCTCCCCTTGGTTAGGTTAGACAAGCCTTGTGTACCTAGTTAATGTGAGTAAGTGTTGTTCCTGGCCTGTCCCGGGCCACATCTTTGGTTATAATCCAGGTTGAGATTCCCAACCTCCCCAGTTTGTTTTGGCCCCCTTTTATATTGACAGGGTCAGCTTTTTATTTCCCCATGTCTGTATAATTTTTTATCCTTTTCTCACTCCCTTAGCGAGAGAGCCTCTTGATTTTGTCCAATGGGTAGAATACAACAGTCTCTCCTTTTTGAGGGTTAGACAGGCCCTCCTAACATCAGTTATGTTGAGTTTATTATTGGGTTTATCTCCCTCCTCTCTCATTCTTCATTATCAGATTTTATGTATAATAATTTATTATCATTAAATTTTTATGGCATGGGGCACGTTTTGTAGCCCCCCCCCTGAGAGGATGCGCTATTGTGGTGTATGGAGGATTGAGTGGTGACGGACAAGTTTTTATGGTGAATGTGGAAATTGTAATGAGTGAATGGGTCGTGAATCAGATTAGCTAGGTATAGGATAGTTAGTGTCGACCAGCCTCAACCTCTCCCCTTTTTTTAGACCAGTGCCACAATTATATATTTTATACAATAAATATTCCAGTCTACTTGTGTGTCAGACTACTTGCAAGCTAAGCAATATCCAACAAGAAGTAACGACTTCAGCATTGTTTAAAGCCTCAAATAATTGTCAAAAAGTGGTAAGAGACTAATAGGGTGATAATTCGAAGGGTCAGAGGGTTATCCAGAATACTTAAAAGCAGGGACTACAGAGGAGGACATCCAAGAAACTGAAAAGCAGGAAGAAACGAGGCAATTGTTGTAGAGTTTGGAGAGAACTGGAGCCATCTCTGAGGCACATTTCTTTAAGATGATGGCAGGGATTGTGTCATATCTGCTTGTCTTGTGGGAGTCTTGTTTTGAAATGATGCCTGAAACTAGTGATGGGTTTATATATATATATCACTCAGTAGAGTCTCCATTTTAGAGAGGAACTCAGGCATGGGTACTCCATATGAGTTGAGTGTGGAGTCGGAAGAGAACTTTTGAGCAAAGCACTAATCCTTGTCTGCTGTAGATATGAGAACTTCACATTGATTGAAGAGAGGAGAGATTGAAGATTTGCTAGTGTTCAGTACGCTCTTGCAGAGCCAACAATAATCTCTAGAACTGAACTTGTGAGAGACTATTTATTGTTTTATTCTATCAGGAAACTGTAACTTTCACAAATAGTGATTCCTGTGGGTTATAGTGGTATGAACGATGAAGAAGATTGAGGTTTCACCTGATATTTACAAAGATAAAAACATCTATACCAGCTTTGATCCAAGAAGAAACTTCATTGGTGCAATTCTCAATAGGAAGTTTAAAAATATCAATGCAATGTGTGCCTCAAAGAAAGTCATGGATTGAATCCCAATCTGCATGTTTGTAATGGATCTTGTGAATAGGTTTCTGTCTAATAGATGATTGAAACAAAATATCAATAATGGTAAAAAAAATATAATATTTGAAAAAGAAAATATTCATGATTTAACAAAATCTGTTGTGGACAGACAAATTCAAATTAGAATTTTTAGTAATAAGAGGAACCTGAAGAAAGACTGAAAAGTAAAAGCAAAAACACTGTAGTTATTGAAATATCTCATTTTAAGGGGTTTTTAAAGAAATGCAGGGTGGCTCTAACCTTTTTGATGATTTTATAATTAAATTAAATTCACTTATGGTGAGAAAAAAAGAGAATCTCATCATGGTCCTGGTGATTCACAGAGAACAAAGGATGCCTGTTCAATTCAGGGAATTTTTTCCCTCTGTAAGAATAAGGCAAGGGAGAATGTGTTATGATCTATTTTCCCCCATTAATGGATCTGTTCTGAACACATATATTCAGGAGAACTCTGCTGATAGGCAGAGTTTATCAAAGCTCTAGTCAAACTCTCTGATAAACAAATACATATTGTCTCAAACAATTCTACTACAAAAAGAACATTGGAGAAAGACTAAACAATAAAAGCAAGTACACTATAGTTGCTGAAATTTTAACTTTTACTTTAAAAAAATACAAAAATATCTCATTTTAAAATTTTTTTAGCATACAAGGTTGCTGCAAACATTTTGCCTACAGTGTATATATACAGTTCTGCACAGAAGTAAGTAAACCCCTAAGATAATATTAAAAAATAGTCACTTTTTTCCAGAAAATCAACAAATCTTAAGTAAAATATATATTCATTAAGAAAAAAACTTTATTACACAAATTACAATCACTTTCAAAATTCCTAGTATAAAAATATTAATTAAAAATTAAAATGTGTAAAAGTAACTGAA